AATGTTAAATAAAAAATATAAGAAAAGAATTTTAACTTACAAAATATATCAGAATATAACTCGATAATAAAAATGATATAATTGCATACCATTTGAATTCGTATCGCATAATTTACATACACATCTGTATACGAATGTTTATATATTCCACCAATAATAGAACCTTAACAACCGAAGTCCGAAACAATAATTGTCTAGATTGCGGCCTTATTGATAAACAACTAATGTATAGATTAAACTATAAATAAAGCGTTTTTCCATGCAATCTCGTCTTTTTATGCCATATAAAGCGAATAGCGCGTAGCTTTCGATCGTTGTTAGACATAAAATGCTCGTTTTATGATCATTGTTGCTTTGAAATCATGAGTATTACGAACTGGCATAATATCAATGCATAAAATATATCGAAATGTACCACACCTAGACGATACGTATCGTCACATTCCAACTCTTATTTCGACATATATGGCAAGTACTGTTCTTTATTAGCACATCTCGTGCTTTAAACGTACTTGCTGTGTTTATATTTGCGTTTTGATATAAAATTGCACAATATCTGTTGCAAAACTGAATTGTATCTAGGAAAATGATTACAAACGCCTAGCAAATAACTAGGAACTGTGCGAGGCACAAATCTATGAACGAAAATTCTATTGCTTAATCTCAGCTACTTTTCGTTCAATCTCGATGTAGATACTATCAATTCGATATTACACATAATAGCGTAATTCAATCATAGTCTTGCAATTTTTAAACTATTATAGCGTTTAGTATAACATAATCGCTGCGGCAGTTTTCTCTTCAAGTGCAGGTATTGGTTCCAGACGATCATCCTTTTCTCTACCTGAGCCCCAGCCAACTAATGCTATGCTAATGAGATGTACAATACCGGCGCTAACTACGAGCCTAAATGGAAAAATATTCAAAGAATAAGAATAAAATAATTATTTCAAATTTCAAACTATTGAATTTAATTTAGTAACTAATTGTAAGTAAAAAATAATGAAAATGAGAAACACACTGAGTTGTCACATATAAAAGGTGAACTTTAATTTAGAAAAAAAATTTGTTTTCAATTCTAAAAAATTATAATATTTATGACAATTGTATAATAAAAGATTAAATCAGTTAACTAATTTGATAGTACATTTATTTATCTGTAGAAGTTGCTTTTCTTTAATATTAAAATAATTAACAGTCTAAGAAATTTAACTCTTTCTTGTGATCATTACAATATTAATTAAATACTTGTAACTGAATTGCAAAAGTCGAAAAAAATATAATAAAAATATTTAAATCATATTAATTCATTTCAATAGGAAAAATAAGAACAAAAAAAATTCTGATTCTCAATAGAATTTAATTTAAAGGGTAGCAATTTTATCGTGTAAATGTAAAAATTATATATATCTTTTATATATATCTATTATATATATTTCTCTTACCAAAATGAATAACCGAGTTCAGCGGAACCTTCGCTGATCCACATATTATCGATGTCCTCCTTCGGAAGCACATTAACGTATAGTCTCGTATAGTATTGCGCTAACCAAGTACAAGTGCTTGCTAAGCACATTAACACTAAAAATAAGTCACGAATAAGAATCCATGCATATGATATTATTTATAAGTTCAATATATTTTTTAGAGTTAAATTTTACTTAAATTTTCGCATTTTTTATACGAGCTTTGTGATTCTCTATTTTTAAAACTTTATTAAAATCAATGTTATAAATTAAAAAAATTATTTAATATAGACAGATGTAGTAAGATATTAATCTGTGAAATATATTTAAAAAAATAACAGCTTTGATCATTTTCTTTAGGAAACATTTTTTATAATTTAATAAAATAGTGTTAAAATAGTGTTACTTACGCATTAACATATTTATAAAGTATACACCAGGAATGGATAGAATCTTCGATCTTGGGGAAGTAGCTGTATTTAAAACTGCCAAAAGTGCAGCAAGCGCAGCCGCTACCAAGGCAGCCGAAGTCGTTGTTAAAGTAGCAATCCAAAGAGCCCAAGACATCACCGATGGATCTTGTCGGATCATTTGAGGAACTGAAACATTATTAAGATTTTTATTGTTTAATAATTTTATTCCAAACAAATGAAATGCAATTCCAATCCTAAAGGTCTGTTTTCTGTGGCTGAATTAATATACATTTTTGGAACTTAAAGTGAGAATACATAGATATGTTCGATATTTGGCGAAAGCGAGAAAGAGAGTTCCAATGCAGTCTATTACAGGAATAAAAACAGATTAAACTATAAAATTTGCTTTTAAACTAATCTATAAAATGTATTATAATGAGCTGATAAATGATATAACTATACATAAATAACTAATTATTTTTTTAATGCTGTAATAAACTAAATTTATAGTATTTTTTTTTTATTTTTGAGTGGTACAATTA